GGGGGCGTAGGGGGGTCATGAAAGGGAAGCGCCTTGCGCTATAAACCATGACATCATGTACTGAACACATACACACAGACAGATCGGTATAATAAGTTGGGGAAGACGCGGCAGAATGAGGGGAAGGAATGTTGTGTAACCAGCAGAAGACCCCAGACAGAGGAAGAAGAGGACACACTGAGGGTTCCATCCGTCACAAGAAACTGCAGAAAGTCCATCAGGAACCTGAGCAGGAAGTGGCTACAAGGACTGAACCATCATGGAGACCGTCACAGAACCCTGAACTACAGAGAGGAACAGAGTCCTATCCAGAACATTCCAGGCCTGGGAGATGCCGAGTCCCAGCTAGGAGATTCTCAGGCCTGGGACTTGTTGAGTCTTCTGCAGAAGATTCCTAGGCTAGGAAGGTGCAGAGTAAAAGCAAGGAGAGTGGTAGGAAGTCCCATCCAGCTTGACAGGTGCAAAGTCTCATACTGGAGATTCTCGGGCATGGGAGGTGTGGAGTCCCAGCAAGAAGATTCCCAGGACTGGAGTTGCAGATTCTTATCCAGGAGATTCCTAGGCTTAGGAGGTAAAGTGCCCCAGCTAGGAGAGTCCCAGGACTGACTGGAGTGAGCGTCAGTGGAGTCCCATCCAGGAAGCGAGGAGTTCCATCCAGGAGATTCCCAGGCTTAGGTGTGGAGTCCCTTCCTGCTTGATAATTGCCTCGATAGGTCCCACCCAGGGGATTCCTAAGCTCATGAGGTGCAGAGTCCTAGCTAGGAAGTTCTCAGGCCTGGGAGGTGTAGAAACCACCCAACTATGATGTTCCCAGCCTGGAAATGCAAAGTCCCACCCAAGAGATTCCCAGGCCAGGAAGGTTCCGAGTCCCAGATAGATGATTCCTGGGACTGAGTGGTGGCGAGTACCATCCAGTTTGAGAGGTACGGAATCCCACCCAAGAGATTCCCAGACATGAGAGGTGCAGAGCCCCAGCTAGCAGATCCCTGAACCTGTAAGGTCCCATCCTAGATATGCCCAGCTAGTAGATTACTGGGGGTGAGTGGTAGGGAGTACCATCCAGCTTGGCAGGGTTCCATTCAGGAGATTCTTTGGGTTGAGATGGGTGGAGCCCCAATACAGAGGACACCATGTCACCTGCAATATCCCACAATGCACTGCTCAGCATACACAGGACACCATGGCACCCACCATCCCACAATGCACTGCTCAGCATACACAGGACACCATGGCACCCACCATCCCACAATGCACTGCTCAGCATACACAGGACACCATGGCACCCACCATCCCACAATGCACTGCTCAGCATACACAGGACACCATGTCACCTGCAATATCCCACAATGCACTGCTCAGCATACACAGGACACCATGGCACCCACCATCCCACAATGCACTGCTCAGCATACACAGGACACCATGGCACCCACCATCCCACAATGCACTGCTCAGCATACACAGGACACCATGGCACCCACCATCCCACAATGCACTGCTCAGCATACACAGGACACCATGGCACCCACCATCCCACAATGCACTGTGCTGAGCAGGTCAGTGCAACTCTAGCCATGAGGGAATCGTTTCTGTTTTCTACCCAGACAAGAACTAATTGAATTGGCCACAGATTATAAATGGAGCTCGTCCAATCCGGTACATGTAGAGGGGTTGGGGGAGCGGGGGG